GTAAGAGGGAGATCTATCTGGTCAAACGATAATTGGATATGTGGATGGTTTCATATAATTTAAACAAACTTTTATGAGAAAAATTAGTTTCATTTGTAATTACTCTATGGCTGCATAACATAGTTAATTGAAGTGGAAAACATCCATAGGTTACATTTAACTCTATATAACATTATATCCAAGTAAGCCATCTGCTGCCCTCGTGTGTAATCATAGATGACAGAAAATATAGGTCGGATGCAGTTATTCCAATAAGGCTTGCTAGTGTAAACTCTATTAGAAGATGTGAAACTGACGGATAAGATCTAAGAAATATTCTTCATATAAATCTAGTGATTACATTGGGAATTAATCCTAATGGTTTAAATAATTTCAACCTTAGATTAATGTTATCATTATTTTGTATCTCCTACCTCATGTTTTCATTGGCCTTTTACCAAACATATTTTTTGTTCACCCCTCTTGTTAGTACACTATACATCTTAGTGAGTTTATCTTTCGCTGTGTTAATTTCAAATGTGGCAACATTGATTCCCCATGCATTTCTTATGCTACGTTTAATGTTATTATTGGGGACGTTAGATTCCCAGAACTCACTTAGGAAGAGTCCTAATTTTGGATTTTTTTATGTTTTCGCGCATAAATCGCTCAGCTGACCTTGAGCTCTCATTATCCACTTGGAAAATCCTTGACTGTGATTGGCTGATGGATTATTTTAGTACTCTAGTTTGTGGCTCTCACCTAAGGCGTTGCTGTCATTGTATAAATGAGCTTGATTTATGTGCTTAGCAACATCGTATCTTCTGGGTGCTTGTAGAAGACAGTTTCGACTCCTTCTTAAGACTTATTGCTATAGTTAGCCGGGGCTGGGACAATGGATTAGAATAGCCTATAGTGTCACTGAATCATTTGTCGTCTCTCTCGTTACCGAGTAAGGTGAACTCGTAATAGTTTCAAGCATATGATTTATTTATTGAAAAATTTAAAAAATTTTTTGTTCGGTGGTTGTAAAAGCAAAGTCACCATTGAATAAAATGAATTATATAAGAGATGTTTAGATTGCGTTCGACTCTGTCATAGATATCAACAGAAAATTCCATAAACCTGACATTTAAGGGTATATCTGGTTTGTGACCAGTGAAAACAAATGTGACTGGCCAGTGACAGACACAATCAACTACTCACTAACATGTGATTTCCTCCCGATTACTGGTTAATAGTACTGACTCGTTCAGTACAGACTATCTTACAGTTGTGTCGAATCAAGTGATATCTAGCGTATATTCTAGTTCTCTGTTATTGGTAGTAAATTTGGTTTCTGATATAACATTATCTATCTTATCCACAACGGACTGCTGTATGACTGAACTGGGAACAGAAAATTTAAATTGTCTAGTAACTACAATCATGTTGTTCAGTACCCACTTCTAAATAACATAACAGTAACAATTAGAAAATCAGTGATGAGTTATACAAGTTCAAAATGTTATCGTTGTAAACATAATGACAGTTCTTTTCAAGTTTTTTTATCATTAAAATAACAAATGCTCTAGTGAAGCATTTAGACTTGTTTCTTTGAATTGTTAACATCCATTTTGTTTATCACTTTTAAACTCAGATAATTATTAGAATCCGAAAAAAGTAAGTTAAAGATCTCAATAGTTACTTCATCTAATTACTAGTGTCAACTGAATGCCGTTGATTAAATTTACAATATGGTCACTGGATTGGAGAATTAGACTAACATAGTGTACCACAATGTGAACTCACTTAGATTAGAGGCTCCACTGCAGTCTTAACTAATAGAATTAGAATACGGAGTCGTGAAGATTAGTAAGTCACATATTTGAAATCATGAATCGATCAATGTTAGACCACCATTGGAAACCTGAAAGCACTGGACGGCCGTTTCGTCCTGGTATGGAACTCATCAGCAGTGCGCATCCACGACTCCTGAATCTCACAGAATTCCCAACTAAATGAATCACATATTTCTCTTCAACTTATCAAGTTCATCTTAGTTTTATTTTTTTGGATAAATAGGTGCATCAATTAGTTTGCAAAAAAATAGAACATGATTTCATTAGTCTAATTAATAAATTTAACTAAAGAGAGAAAAAGTAACCGATGACATTTGTTAGTTCTACTGTCGTCTAGTATTAAAATTCAATAGTCCGCAAGATGACTAAGTACATAAAGTGTTTCTTTTTTATAAACAAAACTAGTGTTCAATATTCAAGTCGAATCACTGATGTTGTATAAATTAGTTCAAAAGTTATTCGTTAAAAACAACAATAACAAAATAGAAACATGCTGTGCATATACGATATAAAATAAACAATTTCACCGTCTATGTGGTAAAAGTAGAGTTTAGTGAATGAATGCTGATGATTGTATTGTAATCAACAAACAAATAGCAACATCGTTTTTTGTTTTGGTTTAAACAATTAAATATAATAGAATAGACTAGTGCTTTATAGTGAAGGCTAAAAAAGCACACCTTGTAAAAATCGGAGATCAGAAGTCCCTATACATCACTTAGCTTTATTTATTTATTTATTTATTCATTGTAAGGTGATGATGAATAAGGCAAAGAAATGGTTAATTAAAATTAGATAAACAGAGAATACGAAAAATCAAAATAGTTCGGTCAAAAATCTTGTTTGGATTGTATTTGATTACGGAGTTAAAACATCTTGGAGTTACCATTGAAAACCGAGGAGCACTAGATAAACGTTGTGGTGGCGTTTCGTTCTTTGGGCTGGATGTTTTGGTTGTGCAGCTTGCATTGTTCTTCTAGACAACATTATCAGTACAAACTTCAGATAAAAGTAAAGTATACGAATTTCTCCACGTTTGACGCGTATCTTGTTCTGTTAACCTCGATCTTGATTGGTTGTTGTTGTTGACCTTAAACCTGTCGTTGTTTGCACGTTTGTTTTGATTGCATCCGCCTTTTGATCTGTTTCTTGATCCTATATTGCCTATGGTCCTTCTGATTGGTTGATAAATCGACTCAATGCCGATGTGTTTGTTGATTGCTGATTGACTTGTGTGCCAAGCCTCTTTGTGTTCTTTATGCATCGCCTATCTAGTATTTCCACATTGTTCCAATCGAATGTAAGCGTTTCGTGCAAATATGGGACTCATAACCGGAATATAACGGTGAAATAGAAAATGTAACATGTCGCGGAGTTGGATGAAAAAAATACCACAGTCACATTTCAAACAAATTACTATTGTGGAATTGAAGGAATCATTGAAAAAAACCTGTTTTGTCATGATTTAATATTTCTATTTGAAACTTCCGAAGAGTATTATTCTTCATTGTGTGATTACTTCTAGAAATTTCTTAAAGCATAGGATACTGAGTGACAAAAGAATTGTTCATCATCTATGTATGGTTATCAGCAGTAAAATAGTTTTAAAAGCATTATAAGCAGAAATGAATGGTGATTAGCAGTGAAATTCAGGACGCGAGTTTTGTTCTTTTTAGAACTGGTCAGCTGGATGTACCTGCATCCTAGACTTGGTGTTCACTTCGGGCCGTCATACATTTCTGTTTATTATAATGCTTGTGACTTAATGGCAATGTCAAGGTAATCTGCTCAGAATCCACACATGCCACAAGAGACTGATCAATTCTTTTTCAAACATCAATGGAATGATTCAAACAACCACTAAATAGCTTTATAAGATCCTATGGAATAGTAGAGATAACCATAGTAGTCAATAATTTATATCAAATTTGATACCTTAAGTAGTATTTTTTTAATTAAATTACAGTTTCTGTTGTTCCATAACTGTAAGAATAGAGTAGTAAGCAAGCGAAGTGTACTATCCAGTCATAATTCCTATCAAAAAACGTAAATAATCTTAACCAAATTATAGTGAAACTCTACAAATAGAAGAAACTAGTTGTAAAGAAGATAACTATTTATGGATGATTGACATATTGATTAGTGTCTAGAATTCTGAAGGTGATTATTTTACTTATTTTTTATAACTATCATTTTTTTTAATTAAGAGCTTTATGGAAAGAAGGTATTTCCCCAGTGCTCGTTTGATGTCATAGAAAAAAGGAATTAGTTGATTTAATTTCCGCTTCTTATTTATTTATGAATGATGCCAACCAAGTTCTTTTGTGTTTTGTACTTAACACTTAAGATAAACATATTTTTTTAGTCTGTATCAACTTAAGTGTAAACAAAAAGTTCATATAGAATGAATAAATACTGTGTTTAAGTCCTAAAAAGTTTTCTTTCTAAAGGTACTTACTAAAAAATATGCTGACACCTTTTTCATTATATACTGACTGTAATTCATCAAATGAAGGTATGTTGTGTATTAAAATCTTATTGACCGGGAATACTTCCACAACATAAATTTGTTGCTGTTTCATATATTATCAAGGGAAATCAGTTCATAACAACTAGCTAACTTTGGGTGAATTATTACCATTCATTCATCCTTCAGATTCAATTCAGTTACATGAAGATTCGAATGAGAAAGCCCAACAAATTAGCTAATGTGATGAAAGGGAAAATTGCAACTCTCTTGATTACACAACAGTTAAATACAATAATAAAAATTTGAAATTTAGTTCTAGTATATCCACACTATCTAATCGTGGAGAATTTTAAAAGGGGATCCGATAATTGTCAATAAATAAGTACAATTATGCTCTGTTTTGACGAATGTAAAGTATGGAATCTTTATTCAGATTTAGATTTCCTAAATTATATTTTACAAAGACTTCTAGAAAGTTGCTTGTTAATCTTGGATTCAAACCTAATCATGACAGATATTCTAATTAACATTTCCACCTAGTTTCCAGTCTATTTGTGAACAAATTCTGAACTTTGTGAACTACTAAGCATTTGGCTACCGGAATTCTAGGTTATTTTTATCGTATTTATTATAAAAAACAATAGTTCACCTAACAAGCATTAACAGTATTATGAAACAATAATGATATTTAAAACTGCATATTAACTTACTTCTTCCATAAAATGTTCTGCAGTATCGTGAATTCTTTGTTCGATTCTGTGTATAATATTGGCAGCATCACGAACATTATGTAGTTGAGATTGAACTTTTCTAATACGTTGACATGAATTATCTAAATTTCTACTTATTTCATGTTTCATTTTTGCAACCGCTTCGCCAAAACTTGTTACTTCATGTTCACGATGTGCATTGAATGTGCATAGAACGCATATACACGTTGAACAAGCTTCACAATAAAATCGTACAGTTTCACCAGGATGATCTTTACATTCAATATCACTATGCAATTGTAATTCAAATGTTGCATGATCTTTAGTAACTTTAGTATTTCTATGTCGTTGAACACATTCATCACATAGAAGTTTATTACAATCTAGACATTTTGATGTTGCTTTTGGTAAACTATTTAAACATGCTGAACTAGCACGTTGTTGATTACTACTATTATAATTGTCAGTAGTATTATCATGACTATTTATATCTAATGAATTGGTTTTATTCAATGGTTCACTTGAATGTCCTCTATCACCACGACTTACTTGTGAGCATATTTCACATTCTCCATAACGTAAATGTTTCTTTTCTAAATTTGGTATTTGATGTAATGAATCAGTACTTTCATTAATAGTGACCGATAGTTGTCTATTAAGATTATTATTATTAATCCCATTGGTTATTCCACAAGTTGTTGGACTACCAATGATTGTAGCTGTTGATGAACCATTTGATGATGCTCTTTGTCTTAGTACTAAATCAGTTAGACCAGAAATCAAGAAATTATCTGGTAATCGTTTAACACCACCTAATGGAAGTTGTGTACGTTTACGGCATAATGGACATGTGAAATCACGATAATCTGTATACTTATTATAAGTCACTTCAGATGATATATGCTTTTCGATACACTTGGCACAGAATGTATGCAAACATGCAAGACATTTTGGATTTGTATAACTATCAAAGCATATTTTACAAACAAGAAATTCATCATGTATTTCTTGAGCTAATCGACCAGCTACTGTACCTAGAAATGGATCGTTAGCTAAACGAGCTGTATCAATTCTTGGTAAATTTTCAGCTAAAAGATCTTCTTCACATTGTTTAGATGCAGACTTTACATTGGCTTCAGAGTCATTATGGTGAACTAAAAAGAAACAAAAAAAACATTCTGATGTTAAACTGAAATAGACTAATAAATTTCTTTATAAAAGAATTCCTTCATCAAACAATTAAGGCTCACTATCAGCTGAATAAGTACATTTTTTTTGTTAACCTCTAGCAATGATATTTTCAAAGTTAGTTTGAATATTTAATAATAACTGAATTCAAGCGAACACTGATAGGCAGGCACTGATATAACTGAAACATATTGTTTTCTCTCTAAACAGAGCAACTATTTGAATACTATCATATTACAGTAGCTATTGGTGTAAAATAATGGTTTAAGAACAAACCATCTACAGTACACATGTTTGTTCAGGATGTTTGTATGAAATATGTAGATCTAGTCTTTAGTCATCCATTTGCTTCTTGTTTGAGTTTTGCCGTGCGAGTTGGTTTCAGACTGTCTTGTTTTGCTTCTGTTCTGACCTTCTAGTCTTTTTTAATAAGCCATGATTTTCAACTTCCTGAAACTATTCTTTTTGACTGTTGACAATGACAATGATTGTTCAGTGGAGGTTAACTGTAACGTTTTCGATGTTCACGAAGTGTTTCGTATGCAGCATACTTTACTATTCTTTCCGTTTGTTTATTGGACAATTGTGTTATATTTAAGTATAATCATCCTCAAAGATTTCACCTGTTATACACTAGTTCATTTGATGAAAATCATAAGTAAAGTAACTGCACCTGGATCATTTTTTGGGGGTTACTGAATGCCCCAATCACGGACAAAGGGGAGGGTCGGGTGTGAGGTTAGTGACATCATACCATGGAAAACTAACTCGCTAAAAAAAAGCCAACTAGAAAAACTTTTCCATGGTAGTTAGAAGATCTTTTTTTGAAAGATTTACGAGGCCTATGCTTCTTTAGACAACCAGAGTAACCAATAATTTAGGTACATGGAATGTTCGTAGAATGTGAGAGACCTGAAGAGTCATCCGAATCGCTACAGAGATGAAGAAATACAACCTCGACAACACATTGGATACAGGTTGGATAACTGCTTCAGGAGAGCTGCTTTTGTACTCGAGCCATGAATTATAAAATGCTCCACATACACAAGGAGTCACACTCATGCTACACAGATAAGCACAAAAGGAACTAATAGGATGGGAAGCTCATGGACTCAGGAACATCAATGCGTCCTTCAAAGAAAAGAAAGAGGGCAATACAATGAACACCATATAATGCTATGCACCTAACAACGATTAAAATGAAGATTTTACAGATGTTACAGTTATTCGTTGAGAAACGCCCATCAAAGGATTTGACCATTCTGATGTGAGGCCTAAATGCTATCGTTTGAATCGAAAACCCCGCATATCAAGACATCATGGAACGACATGGACTGGGAGAAATGAAAGAAAATTGTGAGAGATTTGGAAACCTATGTTCCTTCAACAAATTGTATACAGGCAGCATCACATCCTCACACAAACGCCTAAACAAATGTACATGAGTTTCACCGAACCACACCACACAAAACCAGATCGACCATAACTACATAAGTAAAAGTTCAGAAGGATGATTGAGAACATGACACCCAAGTGAGGAGATTATGGTGATGTCCAAGATGAAACTGAAACTCGAGAAACACTGGACAACAGAGTGGACGACATCACACAAGTTTAATTGGGTCCTTCTCCTAGACAATGATTAACTCAATGGATTTAAGATAATCCTCAACAACAAGTTTCAAGCCTTTCATGATCTACTCAATAAAGAAAGAACTACGATGGAGAATAACTGCAAAGTAATCGAAGAAGCAATAACTTCCGCATGTCATGAGGTTTCGGGACACACGAAGTATCATCATTAGGAACAGATCTCTGTTGATACACTGGATAGGATTCAAGAAAGGAGGAACTGGAAGACAGCAATCTGTAACACTCGAACACAAACAGAGAAAACTAAGACACAGGCTGAATGCACAGAAGCAAACAAGCATGTGTGGTATTAAAGGTGACAAATATAAATATGTGGAATATCTGGCAACGATAGCAGAAAAAGCTGCAAGTGGAGGAAACATGAAACAATTATACGATACAGCGAAGACTTAAGTTGGAAAATTTCATAAACCAAAACATCCACTCAAGAGAACGAGGAAGGCAAAGCAAAAATCGAGTTCCCAAATCAGAAAAACACGTGAGTAGAGCTCTTTGAACAACTCTTGAAACGACCAGTCCCACTAAACTCACTGAACGGCATCGAAACAGCACCTACGAACCTCTCGATTGGTGTTGACCCATCAGGAATTGAAGAAATCAGCATAGCCGTCAGACGAATCAAGAGTGGCTTTGTTGATAGTTTGAATCTTCTAATTGCTATACTGATTTGTATATGGTCAGCCTCTTTTGACATGTGTGTATCCTTTGGATTCGAGTCTTGGTGTAAACATCAGCATGGGTAGAGAGAGCTACATCAAAGTAACTGGTCCCTAGTAAGATGAAAAGTTATCTTAGATTCCACTGCTACCCATCATCCTACCATGCTTAGAATGTTTAATTTTCTATCTTTAATTAATCACTTGATAACCGACACGTAGTTTCTAAATTGGATATTTAGACTGAATACAAGATGCACAAATAATGGCATAAAATCCATAATTATAGCTTTATGTACTGAATCAACTGAGTTATGGCTTTATTTGCCATCCTGCCATCCGGTGGCTCATCTGCATGAACAAGTTATTAGTTTAAGCAGTTTAGTTATTTAAGTATTTTGTCAAACGTTTAAGATACAATTATGGTGGGAATAAATCAATAATTTTTTTGGCGACCATTTGAACATTGTCATTGTTTATATTAAAGATTGAAATCTAATCACTCTCCATTAGGTTATGTGATTTTCAGGTAAATTAACTTGCTATAACTACTGGGCTTAAATGTCACATGTGAATAGGAATATTTGGTATACAGGTTTATTTATCTAATAAATCCTAAGTAGAATAAAATGCACCTTTTACATTTCATTATTATCCACAATCCAAATATATGATTTCATGCATCATTCAGATTCAATATATCAAAACTTTTATCGTGTATATTGGTTTCCTTAGATTACTGTCAGCATTATACAGATTTAAGCCTTGATTCATAAGCATTGATAATTATACTATTTCTAGCTTCTTTTTATTTATTTTTGAAAATGTAAATGTCTAATGATTTGATCAATATATTCCATTCATTTTTTTTATTGCCCTCTACCTTTCACATAAGTAGTATATTATTAGACTGATTCACTTTGATAATAATATACTATATTTTGGATACATTTTGATAGATAACTTATTTCTTTGATAAGTGTATGCATTTGCTCTGATAACATTTAAACAATATTTACATGTTTCTATTGCACTTGTTCAATCTTATATGTATATGTATAAGTTAAATAGAGTTAAGAATAATGTTGAACAATGAATCATTTTAGTATATTCCCCATATTTTTTGTTTATTTCTCTGGTACAGTTATCTAAACAAACTTTGTACACTTATACACACCAGAATCAAAACACTAACAACATTATTGTATGTCATTTATGTCAAGTGAAAGGGAAATTATATTAGCAGAGAAAAAAAGTTTGGATATTTTTTGTTACTGTTAAATTACTATTTAGGAAATGTGTTTAGTATGAATTATCATTTCAAAAGAAGCATAGAAATGTTCGGTTAAGGCTTTTAGGCATAATCATTCAAGAAAACCTGTTCGGGTGTAGACAGTAATTACCGAAGACAGTGTATAAGGTTGCGCCACTCCGTGAATTGACCGAAGTTAGGCGTCAACACCCTTAGATACTGGCTCAGTGGTCCAGAGGTTAGGCGTTCGCGCACAAGACCGAAGGTCCCGGGTTCGAATCCTGCAAGACGCGGGAGTCGCGGATGCGCACTGTCGAAGAGCCCCATGCCAGGACGAAGCGATCGTCTAGTGCTTCCAGGTTTCTAATGGTGGTCTAACATTGATCGATCCATGGTTTCAAATGTGTAAATTATTAATCAGTTTACAATCTGACCACTAAAGATTCTAAACGAAAAGATATGACTAATTGAATAAGAAAAATGTAACCAATGTGAATAATTACATATTAGTGATATGAGACTAAACTGGATGAATTAAAAAAATTAACAGACACGAAGTCGACACCTAATGATTGAATTAAAACCCTACTTTATATGTTAACATTCATAGATTACTTCAACATGTAATTGCTATTCGTTGTAGGTCAAGTTAGTTCATATTGATTGAATCATATTTTATTGCACGAGGGGATCATCAATTGATTAACTATGTAATCGCAACATTGCACCGTAATCCATTACATCTAACCGAGTAAACATTCCCCTCAAGATCTGAAAAGTCTTAAGCTCGATCTCTGAAAATGATTACGTTTTGAAATTCTTCATTTCTGATTACTTTTTTCCGTTTCACATATGAAAATAGTTGATCTTTTTAAAAAATTTATTTCACAAAATGCATTACTAATCGTGTACAACTGTGTTAAAACTTTACATTTCATGTCATTAGTGCAATCGTTAGTTTCGTTATTTTCAAATAACTAATTATTTTGGTAGAAATTCTTATAGTGATTTTTTGTCCCTAACTTTGTATTTTCAGTTTGCTTGATAAAAAAAGACCCAGAATGACGTCATTGAAGAAAACATGATCAGGCATATGTACAGTACGTTTGAAATAATTATAATAGTCTTAAAACATAAATATTTATCAGTTACATTTCCCCAACATTGTTCAACCATGTAAAACTAAGTAAATCAATAGAATTTAAGAGAGAACCAATAGTTTGCCAAAAATGATCTTATCTAACAAAAGTCGATTATTTATGTAAACAAAACATTCAAGTGCAGTAGTACATATCTATAAATATATATATATATATATATATATATATATATATTTTCTACTGTATATTACATTATTTTGTGTGCGCATATTCAATAGACATACATAATTTAAAAATTGTTTAAT